CCCCGCCACGTCATGGGATGTCGCAGCATGCAAACAGGGGGAGGGACGCCACAGCAGGACGGGACGACGGGTGATCCATCGGGTTGGGGCGGCCGGCTCGGAACTCCACCGACCACTCACAAGGGCACTGCAGAGCTGCCCACGGAACTATTGGACGAGGCACTCCCCCCTGCGCAGCCGATGACGCCATCCCACGCCCTCAGCAATGGTAAGCATACCGTAAACCTGCGTTTTAAAATAGACGGAACAGAAAGAAGGGGAGAAACAGCATGAAGCGCAGCCGCGCAAAAACTTTTTTTGCAGCACAGTCCCTATTTTATTTCTCAATAATATTAATATTAGTAACCGAAACCGTGTTGAAGACTGGAGGACTGGAAGGAGAGCGGTGAGGGCGAAGGCACTTCAGAGTGCCTCGCCTCCCCACTTACCCTCAAATTTGCTCCATATCTCTGAAGGCTGTTTGGTACAACGACCACTGTGTATGCAGGAGGTCCGCTGTAACAACACATTATGGGCTTCTTCACCTCGTCCACGATTCCTAATTGGCATTCCACTTTCGCCCCAAAACTCTCCACTGCGCTCATTGATGTTTTTTTTTCTTGGTACCTGGCAGCAGCCCCACGCTTTTTTTCTGTATATTTTGTCTCCCCTTTTACTTCTGTTCGTGTAACATATTCACTCTCCCGTGTTCGATTACACATATCCTTTTTGTTTCCTTCGAGTATTTTGCCCCACCATCCCTGCTTTGTTTTTTTTTCTCCCGCAAAACGGGCTGGAGTGTGGCCGGGGAGACTTAGGAAGAAACTCACGTGGGGCGAGTGCTGCCTGGACGGCGTTGCGAGCGAAAACAACGCACACAGAACAAAAAAAAACCAAACAACAAAAAAAATTGGTGTGTCACAACAGAAAATGTGTAGTCCTCGTCACAGAGGGCAGATGCCCACTCTCCACATGCACACACGCACGCAAAGCGCACCGCGGACGTGTGTACGTCCCTCTGCCCGCGCGAGCCCCCCGCAACGCTCCCGCCGCAGCGGCGGAAAGACGGGCGGCGGCGATGTAGCGATGCAGATCGTGGAGAGAGACATGCCGCGAGGACACACAATAGAAAAGAAAAAATCCCCATATAAGGCGAAAGCAAACAAAAAAAAGAGAAAAACGAGTATCGTGGAGGGCCAAAGGCAGCAATAATAAGGGAAGTAGGAAAGGGCAATCGAGTGCCGCACGTGGCACTCAATTGGGTCGTACAACAACAACGAGAGAGCGGCTCGTCGTGGAATGCCAGGAAAGGGGAAGGGGTAAGCAAGAAAAAAAAAAGAAAACACAACGTACAAAACAAGAGGAAGGGTAAAATAGAGAGAGAAGAAATGGGATAAGACAAGAGAGCACTATCAGGTAAAGGAAGCAAAGCGACATTTCCTCGGGCCGGGTACCATGTACCACACCTGATAGATGAACTCCTGCCCTTTCGTCGCCTTCTTGGAGTAGTCTCAACTTTTCAGTGCTGATGTCTGCGTCGCTTTGTCATGCTGTTGTTCCACACCCTCACCGTCGCTGATGCTGGTGCCCGCGGTGTTATCCATGCGGTTTCATATATGTGCTTCTCTGCACCACTATCAGGGACGTATGTGGGCTCTCAACGGTGTGTGCACGGCTCAGCGTCATTATTCAGATATGCATCGCTCTATAGTGTGTTGGCTCACCAAAGAGATACGGCTCTGTGTGCGTGTGTGGGTAGGTGTTCTCATTAAAAGTAGTCGGGGAGGAGGTGGGTAGTCGAGGTGGCAGGTGTTACTGCCTGCTCTCGTCAGTCACCCACATCAGCCGTGGACCTCGCTGTAGATCGTCACAGCAGTGCCAAAAACCACCGCAACAACACCACCGAGAAGCAGCACGTATGTGGCGATGAAGTTTACCCAGCCCACCTCTTTTAGGGACCAGTTACCGGCGTACATGGTGAAGAGTGCTGGAAATATGAACGCCAGAAACCCACCACACACACCACCCAGGAGGCCAAACACTACGTTAATGCTCGGAATGAATAGGCCCAGAATGAGAGCCACTAGTGCGAGGAAGCCGCTCATGACGAGATTGCGCCACGTTGGCACGTCCGATGTCTTCCCCCAGCGCAGCACATGGTACACTGCATCACGTGATGGCTGGATGCAGATGGCGAACCCCACGCAAAGCTTGATAGCGATGCCAACGTACGCGACTGCCATCATGATGTCGTTCTGAGGATCGTACAACCTCAGAACGGAGCCTGATGCCGCCTCACCAAAATCTGCGTAACCAAAGAAGCCGGCAAGAAAGTAGAGGATTGCCACCGTTATCATGCTCAACGCACTATCTCGCGTCATCCGGCGCGGCGACGGATCCTTCATCTCCTCGTAGATTTCAAAACAGTTGACCTGGCAGATGAAGGCGAAAATGAACAGCGAGAGACCGTTCACGGCACCCAGTCCACTATTGCTCAGTCGCAGATCCGGCGACATCCCGTGCTTCAACCCGTTGCGAGCAGCGTGCACAATCATACAAATGACGAAGAATACGATGAGTGTCACACCCACCACCGAAGCGTAGCGAAGGGAGTTGATCTCCTTGGGGAGTGATAGCGAGAACATCCCCACGAACCAAATGGCGCTGACAATCACACGTCGCCCGCTGTCAGTCTGAAGAAATTCGGGCGCTGTCGGTGAACTCAGCAGCGGCATCAGCAGATCACCGACAGATATAACGTAACCCACGCAGGTGCCAAAGCAGAAGATGAACATGAGGAGTGCAGTGAAGTAGTCCACGCCCCGACCGAGAAGGCTACGCGCCATCTCTTCGTAGGAGCGTAAGCCTGTCTTATCCTTGGTGAGCGCCAGGAGTCGAATGGAGTAAATTGTACACGCGCAGCACACCGCAAGAAGAAGCACCGCGACAATTATGCCGGAGTCATGAAATCCGGAGGGCAGCAGCACAATGCCGGCACCAAGCGTCGCGCTTGCGAGGTTGAAAGCGTTTGAAGCCATTCCACCATATGGCACGATACCCGTCACACGCTTGATGATGTTGTGCGCCTTCCCACTACTCTTCGTTCTCTGTGATAAATCCTTTTCGAGGGTGGACGCATCAGGGCTAATGACCACCGCATCACTCACGCCTTCCTCCATCAGGTCATCACAGAGTTCAGTATCTGTAGGCAACCGAGACATTTCCTTTGCTGTATCCCACTTTACTAATCGCCCGGAGTCCACAGTCGAGGAGAGCAACCCGGTACGAACACACGTGAGGAAAATCAACCACGGAAAAAGAAAAATAAAGCAATGGGGAATGAAAAGAAATCAAGACAAACAGTTGTGGCATTTCACCTGCACGCCCACCCACATCCTACACATACGCACGCTTGTCTTCATGCGCATAGCTCCTGTCCTTTTAGTCCTCGTCCAAAACGTCCTTCGCGAGCCGCCAGCCCCACGGGTTCTCTGGGCACGGATACGGAGGCGCGAGCGGGACACCCTGTCGCTTTCGCTCCGCGTCCTTGGCAGCGTGCTGCAGTGCCTGCTGCACGGCAGTCACGCCTGTTCCCCAGAAGAGCAGTGGTCTGTCGGGTACCCGCCACGTCTGACCAAGCAGCTCTGGCTGGAAGGTACGCCGCCGCCGCTCGAACGGATTGCCGGCCTTACGCTCGTGATCCTCACGTGTCTCCTGCCATGCACGCACATCCGCTGCCGAAACGTACGACATGCCCTCTGGGATGGGCAGCAGCGGGGGCCGCTCCGCCTCCTCCATATTCTCCAGCCATTCCATCTCTGTTTTGACATCGTTCTCGATGATTCCTAGGAGGCGCTGCGTGACCTTCTCTCTGCGCTGCTGCTGCAGAGCTCTCAGTTCCTCTGCCACAGACTTTTCCCCACCCTTCAGACTGCGCACGATGCGGTGCAGCCTGTGCGCCTTCGCCGCCGCCGCACTCTCCACACGTCGCTGCTGAATAACCTGTTTCGTGATTTCATGTATCTTTTCAAATAAATCTGCCGCCTCCGCGTCGTCGTACACGTTAAACAAAGTAACCTCACGCTCATCAGCAGCAGCAGCAGTTCGCGGTTCGGTGTCCAACATTCCCTGTTCGCGGTCGGAGTCGGTTTCTTTCGGAATGGAACCACACAAAGCCATCTTTCGCTGCATGATCCTCTCGTACAGCTCGCGGCACTGCTCCGCCTCCGGGGTGTCTTCAACACCTTCAAATAGTTTTGCATTCTCTCGCACGCGCCGTATCTGCCGCTCCATCTGCATGTGAGCCAAGTACTTCAGGCGTCTCTCGTGTAATGACTCCAATTGTTTCTCCCTCGGGTCCATGAACATCTTTTGAACTATTTTTACCACCTTTTGTGTCTTGGCGCGGGCGGCTTCAGACTCAGCATGGCCCGCGAGGGCATCGCCCGTCTCAGAAAGCTGCGCTTTTACTTCCAATGCCGCACGCTCTTGCTCCTGTAGTTCCTGCAACTGTTTGTACTCTGGAGTGTTCTGCAGAGGCAGCAGTAAGGCCTTTTCGTACCATCTCTTTGCCCAATCGACTGGGTGGGCTCCCTCCTTCGAAGCGTAGTACTGAACAACATCCAACGTGCTCAGAGTACCAGCGTTCATTGAGTAGAGCTTGCGTAGGTTCTCCACATACGCCGTAAGCGTCTCATCCTTGGAACTGTGAAAAAAGCCGCGGCCCTGGGTAAGACGTGCAAACACTTCACAGAAGCGCAAAAAGTCCTCCTGAGCGCGCATCTCAGTGAGAACAGTCTCTGCAACGTCCACATCGAGGCCGACGGCACGACTGACCACACGCTTCAATTTTTCTATCCGGGCGGCTTTTTTGCCGCCCTTCTGCTTCTGCTGGTGTTGTCCGTTTTTTTTTCGCGACGCAAGTTTACGCAATCGTTCGATCTCAGCTAGCTGGTGGTGCCTTTCATCCAGCGTAATTTGCCGCAATCGCGCCTCCGCATACTTAAACATGTTGGCGAGATGTTTTTGCGTCTCCACATTCAAATCCGATGTAATATTCGCCAGCTGTCGCCGCTCAGCCTCCGTGCTGACACCCTCCCGCTTCTTACGCACGTAATCCGCAAAGACCTGTTTAATGTGCGTCATTGCGTTCTCCAACTTGTGCACGTTATCTGCGTCGAAGAGGGAAGCATCGGCTGCGTCATACACAGCCTGCGAAACGCCGAGCGAATGCTGAGGATTCTTCAAATGAACCGGCAGCCCAAGCTTGATGCGCTCGTACTCATCCCGTACTGTTTTCTGTGGATCCAAGTCACGCACGTCCACCATGGTTGTCTCAAAGTACCGGCGTCGCTGCTGCTCCGTCGGCTCCGTTGGATGCTCGCGCAGCGTTTGGCTCATGTACTTCGCGAAGGCGTGCTTGTCGTCCATGGAAACGCTCTCCCACTCGCTATCCGTCATGTGTTTCGCTCTCTCCGCCACTTCCCGCCCGATGCGGCGTATCGCCGCTGAGCTGCGCTCCTTCTTGCTGCGCGGCAGCGGCGGGGACGCGGGTCCGCCCAAACCGGCAAACAACGCCTGCTGTTCGAAGTTATTCTCCTGCGCCGCGTGTGTTGTCATCATTTTGCGCAACTTGGATCGCTGACTGCGCGGGTTCAGCAGCGAACTTCCTGGCGAGGGTATACGCTCGCCATTTCGCAGAAGCCACAACGCCGCTCGCATCGCGCCCCAACTGTGTGCCACTTGTTTTCCAGGCGCAAGAGATGTGTTCTAGTGGTACCTGCGGCTTTAAGAAAGAGACATTAACGGTGGTAAGAACTGAGGGAAAACAACAAGGAGGAAGCACCGCCAGCCACCTCCCCCACCCCCCACGCACTCAAACATCGGCTCACAGATTATGTTGGATCGAACTATACGCTCAGACAGGGCACCCGTCTGCCGCCC